CACTTCCATTACAACCTTGATTCTGTTTATATTTCCTAATGGAAAAAGATCTCATTTCCTAATCCGCTCATCCGCCAGGAGATCTCTTCACAACACTTTGAAGGACAGAACGACAGAACACTTTATATTTTTTCTTTTGAGATATGATTAAGAAGGATACCCTGAAGGTCTCAGGAGTGATCTGAATATACAACCATATTGAGCTGGAGACTCACATCAGAGAAACTCCTTGCAAACACAAAGAGACAGAGGTAAATCTAGTCCCCATACATGTTTGTTGAGCCCTGCAGTTGTTATTGTTGTTGAACGGTATTTCAGCATGTTGCTGCAAGAGTCAGCTTCTTATTTGTAACCACGAGCACTAGTCAATGGCATCTTTAAGACAGAGCAACAGGGAATAATGACACAAGGGTTGTAAAAGTAATTACTCTTCTCACCACCTAGACTTACTGTATATATTCAAAGGAAACAATGTGTCACCACTAAGGTACAATGTACCTGACCAGGCTACAGACATTTCATTTAGGACAAAATGAATCATGTTACATACCTCACAAAGCATTTCAACTCTTCCTCCATTGAACACAAAATAAGACTAGAAAGATGATGTCATAAATCTTTAGGCAAATGACTTGCAGATTGTCTTAAGCAAATCCAGAAGTGAAGGATACGCAACAGAGATACTCAAAGCCTCAGATATAATAAATGAAGCATGGTAATTAGATGAAAGGGGGAATTGTCTTGCTTATCTGCAGTGATAACATGAAGAGGTTTTTCCATTGCTGCCAGTGTCATTTTAAGAATAATTCTGCACAAGTGCATTATAGAGCTATGTTTAGACACAAAAGAGGTTTTTTCTTGGAAAAAAACAATAACCTCACATTGTATAAGTCCATCAAGCTCTGAGTGGTGGTAGTACAGGAGCTGTTCTTCAGAGCGTACTAACCACTGCAATGCACATAAACATCTATAGAAAAGCTGATGCAAGTGTGGAATTTATCTAGGTCAAAAGATGAATTTGAGTCTTGGAAAGTTACAACCTGAATTTGAAGCTGATCTCTCACAACAGGATATAGCACCTGCTCACCCAATAATGGATGTAGTTCCCTAGGAAGGTTTCAAAGAAACCTTGCTAGGATAGGAAGAAATAAGACAGCTTTATAAAGAAAAGAATAATTTAACAAGTTTTAACAAGTGACCTCCAGTGCTCCTTTAAGAGTTGTTATCATTTTTAAGGAAGGTAATGTGTGTGGCAATGCTGTGGGGCACTAGAACCCAGGGAGGTTGTGAATGCTCCATCCCTGGCAGTGTTCAAGGCCAGGCTGGACGAGGCCTTGGGTGATATGGTTTAGAGCAAGGTGTCCCTGCCCATGGCAGGGGGTTGGAACTTGATGATCTTAAGGTCCTTTCTAACCCTAACTATTCTATGATTCTATGATTTATGTAGTCAAACCATTAAAATAGCTCTTGGCACAGTTCTGGCACATGCTAACTAGCACTTTCCCAAACAACAACACAACACAGTTTCAGAGTTGGCACAGACCAGGAAATCCTTTCCAGCCTGCACAGGGCCATTCTGCATGGACCATAAGGCAGTTAAATGCTACAGACACAGATTTTCTTTTGTACCTGTGGGCCCTGATGCCAGAGAATGATCACAAACACGTTTAATTTATTAGAATAGGTACTGCCTCACATTCAAAGTACCACAGATCTACTATGTTTTTTTCTGTGTATGTTATTTATGAACACGTGATTCACTGCTGGGTAGTGGTTTTTTTTTTTTTTTTTTGTAAACAGACAGTATGGGGATACATTTGATACAGCTTGCTTGTATAAGACAACATGAAACCAGTTTTTCATATCCAATCTTGAGTATGGGTGCAAGCAAATCACCCAGCCTCTGCATCTTACAACAGTTCTTCTAATTTCAACACAATCAACAGGCATATTTATGCTAGGATTCAGAAAAGAAGAAGAAATAAAAACCCACCCACAATGCAAACAAATGCAAACTCTTTACGTGAACTTACAACAGTTCTAAATGAAAGTCAGGGTGCAGGAGCTGAAGTTTCATTTATGTTAAATAACCTCTCTTAAAGCTGCCTTAACACCAGAGGACTGTGAAATGTCTAAAGCAACATCTATTTATAGAGAAGGTATGCAAGAGCTGCAAAACAGTAAAGACTCGTCTCCACTCTGTGCAAACTGTCAGGAAACCTACTAAAGGACACGCATGCCTGTCCTGTGCTATGCTGTAAAGGCCATGCTACCAGAAACCTTCTGGGCTTTCAGAGAGCCAACCAGCTTGTAGATGGAACACTGATCTCCATAAAAATACACCTGGATTTCTGGGAAGACTTTTAACATGGTCTCCCATCAAATTACAGAAACTCAGAAGTCATGAAAGGAAATTTTCTGGTAAAGATGGAGAACGACTGCAAGGAATTGCAGAACTTTAACCAAATATTAAGTTATTTGCTCGCAAAAAGGCAAATGAAATGTGAAAAGATTCACAATGTAAAAAAAAATATACAACAAAATCTTAGAGTCACCTGGGCTTTAACATGAAGTTTTCTACTCAGGATCATAATCTGGACTTAAAAAAGCAACCCAATATAATTGATGCTGGAGAATATTAATAGAGAGTGATTGCTCACAATTTCTTCCAACAAGGTAGAAAGTGATTAAGAAACTATTATACGGCAGTAAAAACCCACAAGGCTGAGTACACAAAACACACAGTTCAGCTGTGGGTATCTTTGCTCTGGGATGTTGCAAATAGCACAAGTTTGTAAGAACAAAAAGAGGTAAATCCGTAAAAAAGCCCACTTAGAATAGCTTCCGCAGGGGGTGGGGTGGAGGTTTTGGGGAAGACATATAATCATAGAATAGTTAGGGTTGGAAAGGACCTTAAGATCATCAAGTTCCAACCCCCCTGCCACGGCAGGGATACCTGGCACTAAACCATATCACCCAAGGCCTCGTCTAACCTGGCCCTGAACACTGCCAGGGATGGAGCATTCACAACCTCCCTGGACAACCTATTCCAGTGCCTCACCACCCTAACAGGAAAGAATTTCCTCCTTATATCCAATCTAAACTTCCCCTGTTTAAGTTTTAAACCATTACCCCCTGTCCTGTCACTACAGTCCCTAATGAAGAGTCCATCCCCAGCATCCCTATATGCCCCCTTCAGATACTGGAAGGCTGCTATGAGGTCTCCACGCAGCCTTCTCTTCTCTGGGCTGAACAGTCCCAACTTTCTCAGCTGATCTTCATATGGGAGGTGCTCCAGTCCCCTGACCATTCTCGTGCCCCTCCCCTGGACTTGTTCCAACAGGTCCATGTCCTTTTTATGTTGAGGACACCAGAACTGCACACAATACTCCAAGTGAGGTCTCATAAGAGCAGAATAAAGGGGCAGGATCACCTCCTTTGACCTGCTGGTCACACTCCTTTTGATGCAGCCCAGGATACGGTTGGCTTTGTGGTCTGCAAGCGCACACTGCTGGCTCATGTTCATTTTCTCATTGACCAGCACCCCCAAGCCCTTCTCCGCAAGTCTTTCTACTGGAAGCTGCTGGAGGCTGGGAAAGTACACCATTTAGAAGCACCTTAGCAAGCTTGTCCCACTTTTATGCCCAAGGCCTACTTCTGGCGGTCAGCCTTCAGAGGACAGATACTGGACTAGATGGACTTATGGATTGACTCTGTGTTCTTACCATTCCAAACTATTTTACACAGAAACATCCAACACTTGCACTTTATTATCCAATGGTACAGTTTACAGTGAGCTTATCAAATTCTCTTTTCCACTCTCAGTATTCATTTCCCACAAAACAGCAAAGTCCGGGCCAAGACTCTGGACACCTCAAACTGTAGAATTATTCTTGTTTCCTTCCAATCCACAAGCAATTTGGTTTTTTTTTTCCTTCCTCTTTCAAATGTAAACAGACAAGTAAATTCAGATGTCAAAACCCCAAAAGATAGTAAGCTAAATGTAAATTTCTCTCACGAAGAACACGAGGAAAGAATGAAACACAGATCACAATCTATTGTGTCACAGTAATGACTTCTCAGTTAAACATCTGCATAGACTTGAGGTCTACAAAAATACAGATAGCACTAGCTATGGTAAAAGAACCATTTTATGCTGTCCAGTTCATGAACTAACCTGTCATCAGTTCCATACAGCTTCACTTCAGGTTTGTAAGAAAGCCTGAAGATGCTCAGGAAGGACTGCATATGTGAACTGGTTTCTGTAATTGCCACAATATCAGTATGAATCTCTAAGCAGAAAACAAAAACCTGTATCTTCCCTTTCCAACTCCGCATTACTGGTTCTCCAGTGTCAGAGTGTAATATAGTAGTGTACTAAAGGATACACCTCTGAATGACGTCAGATATTCAGTAATTCCTGGTGAGCTTTTTAGAAGAATAATGCTTTAAATATACAATCTTTCATTCAAAAAACTGCCCTGTCTGTAAACCATTTAGAGACATTGTTTATATTGCAAATTATATCAATTACATTCTCTACACTATGATTTGTTGTGGTCTGAGACGGCCCAATGGCAAGTCAACAGACTTCACAATTATTAATTTCTATTCCCATGGCTATCAACTAATATTTGTTTGAAATTATAATGATCAACTACTTGTTGGCTACTACAGAGATAAAAGGAAATGCCAGCAGATTTTCTTACTTCTAAAGAGCACTGGTATAACAATGTTCTGACAGAAAGTTACCTCAACCAACACAGTATTTTTCCCTAATAACCAACTTAAAAGAAAACACCAATTCCCAGAAAACACAAAGCATGATAACCCCACTGTGAGAAAAAGCATTTCTGAAAATATTTTGATACTTAGAAAAAATAAAGTCTAAATAACTGAGTTCTATTTTAACAAAAGGAAAATACACTATTTCTTAAATCCAGACTAACGATGAAAAATAAGATGTGAAATAACCAATATATTTAAGATAATGTACCTACTTGCCTGTGATGATCCTCCAAAGCTGCGCACCTGCAATTGTGGGAATGTAAGATGAAAAATAATGCACTAAAAGAGAAACGGTAGTATTTTTTTTCTTTATTCATACAGAATATTCAAATTTGGGACAAAATGAGTAACAAGTCTCTGTAACAGTCAAAATATGAAGAGTATATTGACTTAGAGTAACACTTCCTGAATTGCTTTTTGTAAACTGAAAATACCAGTTAAAAATGTAAATGAAAAAAAAAAGATCAGTGTCTTATACTGCTACACTTTCACAGGGAAGACAAAGATAACCAACATAACTCACACTTCAGAGCTAAACTGACAAACACTTTCTACATTCCTTATGAATCTGTAATAGTCTTGCCATCTAGTGGTCGGTTGGAAGTGTGAAGAAGCTACACGTAAGTGTTATAGTGGGAAGAATTTCTTTTTGGTTTTCTGCCTTCTTTCTTTTTTCCCTGCTTTTTGGAGTGGCACATCATTGATTTCAAGACACTACCCAAAGATTTCTACAGAATTACTTCAAGAATCTGACTGTTCTTGAACACTGTGTATAATGCCATCAAAGGCAATAATGCAATAAAAAAGTTAACTATAGTAAAATAATCTTGTTCTGTAAACTGGGAAATAGAGGTCTTCCTAGCCTCATCTCTATGATAACTGGTTAAATAATCCCACAGAAATGCTAGTGAAACACAAATGAATATAGGATGGTATTCTTATTCTCTTAGCTTGGTCAATATTGATGTATCTTGGATTTGGTCAATACAAAAATACTAGTAGTTACAGCTAAGAGAATTTATACAAATCACCACTGTCCAACTAGTTAGGTGTTTCAACATTAGTGGTGATTTACACAACACAGAGCTTAAAAATCAAATTCTGCTAAGCTTGTAATGCTTAGGCAGGAAACAGAATGGTAATGAAGACTCCAGAGAAAGCAATGAAAATAAACCATGCTTCAGAAAAGGTTGCAAATAACTGCTATAACTTAGAGGGTACAATAGGATTTAGCAGTCAGAAATTATGTGGTAGTACCTCAAAGTGGCATATCAGACTTCTGCGGCACCTATTTCCTGCTTTTGTACTATATTAAGGTGATTTTTCAGACACTTGGCATCACAGTTCAACATCAAACAAAAGCAAAGTAAGACACTTACTTTAAAAATATTCCTGATAATGAAAATTACAGACTGATGACAGGCATTTTACCCCAGAATTTGCAAGATTGATAATGAAGTACAGGACAAGCAAAACAAAAAAATCCCACCCAGAAAAAAAATCCAACCAAAGAAAAAAACCAAACAAATCCCAAAACAATAAACCCAAACCAAACCAAAAACAACCATCCCAGCCAACAAATTCAAAATCCCTTTCAAACTTTTTTGAATTTACATAAGACATTTATAAATACATGCTGGAAACTAAACATTACGTGAAGTAATAAAAAAAATACTGCTCACTTATTTCAACAACGCTGAGAGGTTATATTGGGTGTCTGAAACCTTCCAACAATGACGTGATTAAAGTAATGTCAGAAGAAGTATGAATTATAGACTGGTTAGGGTTGAAAGAGACCTTAAACATCATCTAGTTCTAGCCCCCTGCCATGGTAGGGACACCTTCCACTAGACCAGGTCCCTCAAAGCCCCATCAAAGCTGGACTTGAACACTTCCAAGGATGGAGCATTTATCACTTCCTCAGGCAGCCTGTGCCAGTGCCTCACCACTCTGACAGTAAAGCACTTTGATGTTCTAAAATGCTTAGGTAAACTTTGTATTTTAGAAAATAATGTATTTTCAAACTAAGCACTTAAGAAACAAGAATGACTGACACCACTTATAGTCACGTAAAAACAAATTTCCTAATGCCCTTTCTATAAAATATAGCAAAACTTCATTGAAAATGGTCACAGATCATCACAGATATATAACCTCTCTGAAATTAGCTAGTATTTTACAATAAGCATAATACTGAAGTGGATTTAGTAATGAACTAACATGCTCTGAATTGCAGGTGTTTAAGCAAGGAACTCTACCAGTATAATGCCTTACCTTTCTTCCTTGAGAATATCAACTCCTTTATTATCTGAAGAACTAGCACTCCAAGCATTATAAGAGAAATCATATGATACACTCTCCAAGTGGTCAGTGCAACAAACCTAGAATGTCAAGAAGAAACAAACGGTGAATACTTTCAGACTTATTGGGAGCATATACAAACTGACAGCAGCTACTAGTACTGAAACATTAAGAGACAAAACCAGACTGAAATTATGTTAATTGAATTTAGTTTTTCCCAACAGTCTTTCCACAGGAAGGAAATATGGAGAGCTCTAAGGACAACATAGTCTCATTTAAAGATACAATTACGGAATATACATTAGAGCTTGTAGTACATTTTGTCCATACTTTTATCTAGGCACAAAGGAAGCAAGCAAACCAAAATATTTTAATTCTTCATAAGAACCATTACTTTTTAAATTAACTATGACTTTATTAACATAAATAATCTTGGCATAATACATGCAAAAAAGGTTAGACATTTTCTCTTGTTTCCTATAGGGCTTAAATTCACACTAGATTTTTATACAAATTATTCTTACAAATGCAAAGATGAGGTAAAACTGTATCATTCATGGTATAATACTCAACCTGGTCTTTATAATGAGCTTTTGTGAATTTTGTTTTTCATTACATCCACATTTAGAACATGTTAAGTCTAACAGACCAACACTCAGATTGTATGATTTATAATTTTATCCACTACTGACCCTGCTATCCACGTGTGTTCAGAGATTACCTCTTCTGTTTTACTGACAAATAACTCACAAAAAAGGCTGTGAAATATAAAAGTATTAAAATTCAATTAAATTTAAAATACTTCAGCTTTTTTATAGATTGTCTCAAACGCTTTAAATCAGAGATCTCAATACAGATGAGCAAATCAGTATCTTTTCAAGGTAAAAGCAAAAACAAAAAAATAAAATAAAATTGAGGATAACCAACACCAGTAAGAAGCCACTGTTCAAGCCAGTGCATCAAATGAGAATACCAACAGAGACAAAATCATACAAAGCTGTGAGGTTTCCAAGAAACCCCTCAGATTTGGAAACAGGGCAACTGGCCACACAGCTAGTTGCTGCTGCAGAGTTTTTCTGCAAAAAAGGGAGGAAAGCGAAAAGGAGTAGCAAGCATTGCCACTGGAGGAAGCCAGCAGACATGCTTTGAGCATACTTGGACTTCTGTAAACAAAATTGACTTTTAGATGTTCCTACCAAGTTCCAGACACAACTGCAGTTTTGGAAAACTGCTCCAGTATTCCTTGCAATCTTCAAAATCCAAGACTGCCTCAAAGAAAATGTCTGTGCCACTGATTTCCACATTTACCACAAACTCATAATGCCTGATCACCCTGAGCAGACGAGGACATGATTTCCAATATGAACACATAAGCTCACTCTGAAAGGTTTTCCTGAATATAAGGGGGGTTTATATCTGTGCAGTTTGAATTATAAGACTAGTCTATAAAAAAAAAAAAAACAAACAAACAAAAGAGAAAACTTGCCCTGGGTCCAGCAGTAGCAGTCATTTTTCTCCTTCTTAGTAGCTGGTGCAGTGCTGTGTTTTTTACTTTCAGCCTGGGAACAGCGCTGATAACACCAATGTTTTCAGTTGTTGCTAAGTAATGTTTAGTCTGAGCAAGGACTTTCTGAGTCTCATGATCTGCCAAGGAGGAGGGGAAGCTAGGAGGAAGCAGAGACAGTACACCTGACCCAAACTAACCAAAGAGGTATTCCGTACCATTCAATACAACCAAGGTTGTATTCTCTTCCCTTGTTATTTCCCTTATCATTATTATTATTGGTGGTAGCAGCAGTGGTTTTGTGTTATACCTATATATACTGGACTGTCCTTATCTCAACCCATGGGAGTTACATTTTTTCAATTCTCCTCCCTATCCCTCTGGGAGCAGGGGGAGGAAGGGGGGGGGGGGAGTGAGCAAACAGCTTCATGGTCCTGAGTTACAGCTCAGCTTAAACCATGACAAATCCATACCTCTCTATAATTTCAGCCAGCTCAAGAAAACCAATAGAATAGTTAGGGTTGGAAGGGACCTTAAGATCGTCAAGTTCCAACTCTCCTGCCAGGGTCAGGGACACCTCACACTAAACCATGTCACCCAAGACTCCATCCAACCTGGCCTTGAACAGTGCCAGGGATGGAACATGAACAACCTCTTTGGGAAGCCTGTTTCAGTGCCTCACCACTCTCACATTAAAGAACTTCTTTCTTATATCTAACCTGAACTTACCCTGTTCAAGTTTAAACCCATTACTTTTTGTCCTATCATTATAGTCCCTAATGAAGAGTCTCTCCATAGTATCCTTGTAGGCCCTCTTCAGATACTGGAAGGCTGCTATGAGTTATCCACACAGTCTTCTCAAGGCTAAATGGCCCCAACTTGCTCAGCCGATCTTCATACAATAGAGATGTGTAGAGAAAAGTGATACAAGGTAGGCTCTTTCAAAGCTGCCCAAGCATAACTCATTAAATCAAAACTCCTAACAGCTTTGCAGCATGTTGTTCCACTATTTTTCTTGATAATAATCTTCAGCATTAAAAATGCTTGATTCTGTTTAAGGATTAAATTCAACTGCATTGAAGACTTTGTTTAGCCTACTCATTTAACTATTTAACTTACTGATAATGGGGGACAAGGAGAGAGATGTGACACTGTATAAAAAATTCAAATTATGACTTTTTCATACAACTAGGCATCAGAAGTTTATAACAAATGCAGACCTTTAACTTATGCGGTTGTAATACCATGCCTATCCTATAGGTTCTTCATGGTGCTTGTGCATTACTATTTTATAGACTCAAAACACTATACCCCATCTTAGGGACTACCATTAGCCAGTCCTCAATGATTTCAAAGAAATATGTCAATACGGAAATTTACTTATGTGCACTTGCAGGCATATGCATACATACACACACACACATTTTACTACTTTTTAAAGATCAGATGTTTACTAAGAAGATTTAGCCTATCTTTCAAAGAATACACAGAACATGTTTAGCCTACTTTATGCTCACAACTAAACCATACTCTTAGTTTCGGTGCAATCACAGCTGTTACCTGTGTGCACACTGCACTGATGTGGACAAGGAGGAGCAAATGAAGATTAACGAGGTAGCATCTTCTTTCTGCTCCATAGCTTTTGGGGAAAAACTGTAATCTACTTGGAGCACCTAATGTAGTCAGCAAACAAGGGTTCTTCACTTATTTGGAGATCTTTAAATTGTTCTGAGTGGACTTTCCATGCTATAATATTATTAGCTGTCACACTCCTTCCTCCCCTTCCTTGTTACTGTTTATTTAGACTGCGTTGTTTGCAATAAAGACTTTCTCATATGAATTCATTCACAGCCAGTGTGGGTCAGCCCTTAGGTGCTCCGGCAATAGATTAGAAACACTGTTTGCAAGCCATATGCCAGAGACCCCTGTTCTTGAAACCCTTACTGGCCAAAAGCTGCTAAGGTCCCCTTATGGCCTTTTTAGCATATGTCTATCATAAGCTTATCAAAAGGTTACTACAACATGCTGGGATTTGAACACTACTTATTACGCTAACAGTGTGAGGATTCAAAATTCTTACAGGAATTATCAATACGATGCATAGCGACCAGAATAACAAAAACTTTCAGTGGTACTTTTGCTTATAATTAGGAGTTACGGCTTCCCCCCACCATGCTTTGTTAAGAAAAAGTTTACTGAAATATTTCTAACACACACATATATATAGCAAAACTGAAAGGCTCCAGAATTACATCATTGTACACTGCACAAAAAACATCTGTTTAATAGAAGAATCGATAGCTATGCTTACACAATAAACTTTTACACTTTTTAAGATATAAACAAAATAGACCAAAGTTTAAATTGTTTAATTTCTTCTACAAGTGGCATGGACGTAAAAACCATTACCAGAGATGCAAGTTTGCCCCCCCTCAAAATTCTGCAGTATTTTGAGAGATATGTTGGAATTTTTTATTTTGGCTTTGTTGTGGGGGTTTGGTTTTTGTCTTGGGTTTTTTCTTTTTTGGTGTCATTTTTTTTTTTAAGCAAAGGTTAAAACAATGTATAGAATGATGCATTTTATATAATTACTTCAGCAGTTAACAGGGCAGCTTGATGACGAGGGCAAGAAACCCTCCTGTAGGCAGTACAGGACTGCACAAAAATGATCGTGAGGTACCACAGGATTAAAATAATACATGTATACAATACAACATACAAATGTGAGATTTGGGAGTTGGGGGAGGTAAGGAGAAAGAAAAGTACACCATTCTGAAACTCCAGTGAGAGCTACCCTACCTTCCTACCTGCTCTTCAGCATTTCAGTCACCCTTGTTTCTTCCTACCTACAATTAGAGTACAAATTCACTTTCTTAAAACCCATAATGTAACTTTCCTTAGCAAGTGATGCTTCTTTTAGTATCACACAAATAAATATGCATTGCCATTAATCTCTACTGCCTATTCAGAAGTTGCTGAATTCAAATGTAACCTTTTCAGTATTTTGGCAACTTCCGTATTTTGCTGAAATGTTCAAGAGCCATGCTCTGGCTAACAATAATTAAAAAAGACCAATCTTTTGAAAAGGTTCCCAGAGCCATGAAGATCAGATTGAAAGAAAAGATGGAACAACAAATGCAGCTGAAATCCCATTGCAAAAGCAAGTCCCTACGTAGTAGAAGAGCAACACAGTAGAAGAGCAACACATTAAAACTCCTCTGGCTAGAGAGCTCCTTTATTTGCTCCTGCTTAACAAACACTTATTTACATCTTAAAATCAGAGCCTAAACTCTTCAGAGTATTTTTGTGGAGTTCTAAATAGCACAGGTCGGTATATACTTGTGCCCTTCTTAAATGGTGAGGTGAAAATCCATGAACACCTTCCAGACATAGTTTACCATAGAACCAGTCTTCTTCCATAAGACACATGTAAGCAAGCATGTGCTATGACATAAACTGGATGGAGAATGGCTCTCACCAGTACAGAACAAGTATTTCTAGTGCATTTTGAGAATGCTTAACTGCTAACAGGTGTTGTTGTGTTTTTTTTAAAATCTGTTAATTTTAAAGATATGC